TGATCTTGGGTGGCACATTCGTCAATATCTAAATAGACATGATTAATGGATCTGTTGTGGTATATGTAGCATTAATTTTGTTTTCTTAACATTGCATCGATAATACAGAGTATCACTGCCTATGTTACTACCTTTGCAAGACCATCCGTCCCCAGAGTATCCAGGTTTACATGAAAAGTTGTATGAACCCTCGGTATTGTTGCACACAGCATTAGCATTGCAGCTGTGCTCTTCTGTACCACATTCGTCAATATCTAAATATGCATGTTTGTATTTGGTCTGTTATATAGTTAATAGCATTTTTTTACTTAACATTGCACTGATACTTAATTATAGAATACAACAATTTATATAACAACAAATTCAGCAAGCAGTATTTGATTGCAGTACCTGAGCAGGTTTAGTCTTCCCAAAAAACAGCATCAGCAATGCAGCCGTGCGCTTCTGAACCACTTTTATCATTTGTGATATCTAGGTACGCATATCGTAGGATCTTTTATAGTTTCAATAGCATCCGTTCTCGTAGATAGTGTACTCATTATGCGCAATCTAAAAATCTATCTAGCACTGAATTAAGCCCGAAATATTTCATTGCTTTACCTTTGCAGGTCCATCCATCCCCTGAAAATCCAGGTTTACATTCACAGTCATGAGATCCTTCGGTATTGTTGCACACAGCATCAGCACTGCAGCTCTGCTCTTCTGTAGCACATTCGTTAATATCTAGAGTTGCAACATATTTGGTTTGATTACCATAAACTGTCAAAATATTGTCATAGTTTGGAAGAGCAAATAATCTCTCGTTTAAATTATTTGATTTTAAACTGTAAGCAGACTAGCCGAAGAAATCATCTGAACTTCTAAAACAAAAGAAGACATCAATTAACACGAAAAACGTTCAACTTTAATATGGAAAGTAAGGCAACAAGGCCATGCACTTGTGCAAGAAGGATTGAAATCCATCCCTTTAATTCCAAACTTGTGAGCCTTCTCTTATCAAGCTAGAAACATATTCACTGTACAAAGTAACCAAAAAGCAAAATCTGCCTCTGCAATCCCTGCCATCTCTGGAATATCCAGGTTTACATGTACAGTTGTACGATACTTTGATATTTCTGCAAACAGCATCGGCACTGCAGTTTTGTTTTTTTGTAGCACATTCGTCAGTATATGAAATCTGATCATATTGATTTCAATAATCATTGAAGCTGTCTTCAATTTAACATTAGTTTCAATTATGAGTAAAGTCTTAGAGGGAATTAATCGTTTAGAAAATGGCATTACCTTCATCGCAAATCTGACCCTTGAATCCAGCTGAACACAAACAGCGATAACTTTTGTCGGTAAAACCGCTTTGGCAAGTCGCGTTGTTCTTGCAAGGGTTTGCGATACAGTTACTCTGACATGAAAGAAAAAAACAAACAACAAAACAACAAAACAACAAAACAAAAATAAAAAATCAAAGCAAGAAAAAACAACAACAACAACAACAAAAAACAAAAGAAAGGGAAACAACAAAAATTAGCCAAAACATCTAACAAAATGTCGTTAGACATGACATCTAGAGAAACATATCATGAGATAGTTTTTCTCCATACTCTAAACCAGCAGGATTGGTAAGTAAAAACATGCATGCTACTGGAAACCTCGTTATTCTCAAATCGTGGCTGGAAGAAGTTTGTAAGTGACACTTGCCTCTGATCCATGGTAAAAGTAATCGTACTCCCCAACAAGGTCGTCTTCGTTTCCTTCGTGAGTAGCATCATTCAACTCACACTTATATGCTCCATTGTCCCCACTCGGTTGCTTTTCGAGATTATAACTGACACAATCTGGCTCCATGAAACACCGTATCTTACATAATACTTTATCCTTGACGACATCAATTTGAATTACGTGATTTATCAGGCGTTGACCGTCAAATGCTTTGGTGGGCTTGAATTCCAAATAACGGCAGTTTTCTGGGTCAAAATGATATTTCTTATTACTTTGTGAGAGAAGATGATACCCGCCGAGTAATAAAAAGGGAGACAAAGATATGGGGTCATAATAATTTGACTTGGGGTATTGTAAAGCACAGAAAAGAGATACTGGCTCAGCGCTCTCTACATATCAATAATAAACTTTTGGATCAAATGTTCTGCATGTTGTCAGCAGGTAGCAATGTTGCAAGGATTGTGTGTGTGAACAGAAACATGAAAATAGCAAATTCTAGTCATATAAAGAGATTTTTTCATTATTTTTTTTTTGTGTTGTTGTTGTTGTTGCTTTTTTTGCGAAAGGTGGCGGAGGAAATATTCAATTCTCCGCATACAGTTCAAGGCTATTTCATCATACATCGGAAAGCTTCTCAAAGAGGAAGGATATTTGTTTTCTGATGGCAGCAAGCGTGAGGTCGAGATGGCTGGATATTGGCCGAGTTCTTTTTTTTGCGTTTTATGGAACTCGACTTCATCTCAGTTTATAAAAACGCAAGGAAACAACGAGGCCATATTAACTGAACAATCTTAATCAATAGAGGACTTATCATATGCAAAACAGATTTTGCGTTCATAAGAATCAAGAATGACAGTTTTCTTTTTGTATTTCGAGAGCCGGGAAAGAATGCCATTTGTGTTTGAACCACAATAAACCCACGGGTGTTTTCTGTGTTTTCTTTTTTTTTATTTTCTTCTGCCGCTTTTTTTCATCGCCGACATTGTCCAAAAGTTACGAACTTTGTTAGTCCGCTCCACGCACTTTTTCCCAAGCGGGCAAGAGAGGCCGACTCGGGTATCAATCAGAACACAGCATTCGCTTCATATTGCCCACGGGCGCTGCCAGCTAAATAATAAAAACCCCTACTGGTCATGTTTTAGTCTTGTGATAGCCAAACTAATATTAACTTCAGCGTGTTCTTGAAGAGATTTTTTCCCATGCCCCCATGCTGAAATTATATAATTGGAACTTTAAAAATTATACGCAAGAGAGAAACAAAGGCAAAAAAATTGCTTAACATCGATTTTTTTTGGTGGCAGTTACGCGGTAGTTTTGGCACACCAGCAATCAAAAAGTCAGAAAAGTTGCCTTTAGGAAGTTTCAATCCTTCGACTGAAAAGATTCAATTTTTTTCCACAAAGTTCTTCGTGTAGAAATAATTAAAAAATGTTTATCCACAGCTCCCCGCTAAACCGAAACTAACACTAGACCGCGTAATAGCATCGCATTTTAGTTCCAGAATCTATTCAAATGATAACGCTTAAAAAAAAAAAAACAGTAAACATTTTTCATAGTTTTGTGGCATCTGAGTAAGACAAAAGCTACTAACCTTCTGAGAAGACAGCGTCGAGCATCACAGCGCAGAGGAGCGGAAAAATAACACATATCAAAAGGAAATTCATGTCATAAAGCCATTTACAAATTTTATCCGGCGTTGTAGAAACTGGGAGCAATACACTGTAAATGTAGCCCTCTGGTCTTGAACTTGGATCTATGATGTTTACTTTGTTAGCGTTTTTAAGCTGACTCAAGTTCCAGATGTCATACTCAAAAGGCATTAATTCTTAACAATGGCTTAATAAAGAAAATGGTAATAGATTTGTTTCAAAAGCATTTAGAACAATATATTTTGAAGATCTCAGGTCTGTTGGAAATTGCTAATCCCCATGCATTTTTACAATTGAAATTTAGTTCAAAAGTTGATTGAAAACGATATGATATTGTTTACATTATAATCGAAAAAGTTATAAGTACTGGTGATGCTATTTTTCGTTCAAGCATATGAGAAAAATCTGGGACTCGATGAAATCCATA